GTTGCCTGCACACATTACCCCCGTTGTTTGCCATATTGATCAAGATCATCGCACAAATTCTGGGGGGATTCATGTAGATGGTAAACAATAAGGTCCTACCACTTCTTCATGCCATCATTGCTACCAATTATGGTAGCTGTAGGAGCAGCCAACATCTCATATTTCATTCGCATTGGTCAGCACACCCCGATTACTCACGCAACCACCTCTAGTTAGGTCAAGCTGACCACCTTGTGTGTGAAAATATCTGACGCATACACTAAGACTAATTGCTTAGTCTGCTGACCTGCAAGTTGTTGAGAGGTGACGATTGATTGATTGATTGATCATGGACCGCGGGGGGCCACACCTCTCAGTTTTGCTGGCAGTGAACTCGGTAGGAAATAATTGAAGAGGTACAGTTAATTAACGCAAATGTTAAATTTTTCACATGTAAGAAGACGATACCGTGCCGACAAATGAGCTCGGATGCATTTGAGCCCCTTGAAAAGCTGCGAAAGCTTTAATTGGGTGCAAGAATCCTTTAATTTCCTTCCCTCAATGGAGGTAAACCTGAGGCAGTGAGTTGTATGTAAAGGTGGGGCGTACTTCATTGTTGACCTAGATGGCCGGTTAAAATCAAAGCGAATTGAGTAATCAAGCAGAGTCGTGACTTAACTAAACTATTCGTAGATCTGAGGGAACCAATGTAAATAAAGATATTGCAATAGTATAAACATTTGGGTAAAAAATCAACACATTCTAGTAGAATAAAGAGCAGTAAGTGGTGGTGGAAATCGCTGGAGGGTAAAGGAAAACTTACTGAAACTTCCGACGCAACATCTTTCGCCATCGTAAAGATTATCACGACAGCAGTAGCGAGCATGTCTGCAACACACCATGTATCCATATTCCCTTGGGACTCCAATGAATATACCTCCACTCTTCTTCCTTCGCATTTCGTGTATCGAGGTTAAAGGGTGAAAAAAAAAATAGAATTTTCATTGACTCTACAAGGGTACACAAAAAGTCCACAGAAATAGCACTCAAATACGAATGTCGTTGTAGTACTATAAGCCCGATTTATCAATACTTAAGAATGAAAAATGGCCCCCCACATGTCGCTTAAAATAAGTGCTTTCACAACCCTGGTACCTTATTCGTATTGTTAGTTATGGGCAAGAATACTTTTAATGCAATTGGTGCAAATACATAACACAAAAAGGTGAGGCTTACAATAATATGACAAGGATGTGAAAAAAGCACAAAGGCGAAGTGGACAATCCTTGCATGTTGACTTGGATTAACTGAGGCAAGCAAATTCAGGCACAATTATCTCACTCCTCTTCAAGCTAATTTAATCAAAATATGAAAATGAGCACACTGAGAATGGCTTGCAGATATCAAGATTTCACCTTATTTTGAGGCCTGCACAAATAGCGGCTATGCCATCAGCCGTAAAAAGTGGTGAAATCGTAAGATGCACATGTCTAAGGGAAAACAACCATAAAGTTGACGAAAACTTCGTATCATGTGTTATGAGACAAACCAGTTAAGTAAATACATCTTGAAAATAAAAGAAAGATAACAAGGACGCCGCGTGAATAAGCTGACTCAAAATAACAAAATGGTACTTGCTAGCAAGAACTTAATTTAAGGCTCGAAAATGAAACCTTGTATTTACGAGAAGAATAAACTCTGTGGCAATCTCCCCTGAAATCAGCATTTAAAGGAACTAGCAGCAATTCAACTCACTATTAACATCAGCAACAAGTATGAGCTGAAGCATTAAGAGTCACGAGCTCATGAGTAGTTCAAACACACACAGTCAAAACCAAATGAGGCACTGCTTGACTGACGCAAGGAAAGCGCATCCGTGACCAATTCAAACAATATCTGTAGTGATGTACTATTACCTTATATGCATTTTCCTCCAATCACGACTAAAAAATTGTTATTGTATATTTTTAGTAAAATCATGATCTGAAGATGGCGTTAGTTTTTGGCTATTGTTTGATTTTGTCTTGACGAATTTGAAGTAATCCTTTCAAAGTCAGATTAGCGTTTGTTAGATTTCAGCTAAAACGCCTTAATTTTAAGCATTGCAGCTGCTAAACTTTTTTATGTGTACAATCAGAAATGTGCTTAACAACTATCGACGTTGCCGAGATGAATGCAGTTACTTTAACCCCCCTTTACAAGACTTATTCTGAAATGTTTAATGAAGTGTGTAGTGTAATGTCTTAAGTCTAACATGATTCCGATACAAGTTATATTACTACAGCGTCCTGAGACCTCCCTTAAGATGTAAGAAGACAAAATACTTGGACAGAACGTACACATATTTACCACAGAGAAGGTACTTGGGCTACTGTCACGGCCCAAAGGCCAGCTCATCCAGCGTAGTACAGAAGCCAATTCAAAAGCAGCTCCTCGTTAATACCGAGGGATTAACGACCATCGTATTACGTCGTTATAAAGAATGCTCTACAACTAACATTCTAAATATCATTTGAGGGCACAATCATGGCCTCTAGGCATCTCGCTCAGCAAAAGTACAAACAATGGAGTCTTTTAAGTCCAGAACGAAAAACATAAGACCAAATAGAACATTAAATCGCCAAAAATAGTTGTAATTAACTGAAGGAAATCACCCGCCATAACTTAGGAGGAATTTCAATCGGCAAGCTTGCAGGTATGTACACTTTCATCTAATGAGGCGAACAAAAAATTCTTTTCAACTATGTGGTTTATTGAGTTAATAAATAAAAAGGTCATCATATCCCGACCATACAACCACAGTACCCATTTCTTATCGCACTATTCGGTTTGTGTGCTGAAGTGAATGTCCGATGGATGAAGGTGAACATCTGCGAAAAGGAAGTGCACCAAGTGGGATGTTTGCAGGCGGTAAATGCTCCCTCATCCTCGTTGCTCATTCATCCCTCCCTCTTACTCTCTCCTCATTCCTCTTTGGACACTACTTACTGTTGAGTAGACGCGACGAGATGTGGTAGACCTGGAACCCAACCAAGTTGAGGCTAGGTGAATGATGCGTGTTCTGTAGGATGTTTGTCGACTCCTGGTACAGTAGTGTTGCCTTGGCGGATGCCGAGGTCTTCCATAAAGTCATACCGCTTTACCAGTGTGCTGAGGTGCACAAAATAGGACATGGGATGTCAGGTAAAAAGATAAACTCATAGTGTCTTTACTGTCCTTCAGACGCATGCACGTACAAATTGGCAGCATTATTCACGGGGAACGTTCAAGTCAGACCTCGAAGGAGGATGCATGCTGGCGTTAGAGTAGAGCTAATGTATGTTGTGGATCAAGCTCTTCTAGCAATGATTCGTCAAAAGAACCGATTTGGTGAGTTTTTCGGCTCCCCCTGCCTCCAAATTATATGCATACATCAGCCAGGTAGAGTAACAGTTCCTCCATCGAGGAATCGACTAATAGAGCTACTGAAAGCGGCCTTTTTCTTTGAGTAGAGCTTTACTTCCATTTTTTCATGCACTACGGTGGTTCGTAGTCCACCTGATCATTTTTATTGTCAGAATCAGAATAACCAACCCATCGTGGCATAAACCAAGATGAAAAGTTTGTAGTGTGCTATTTCACAATTTCTCTGCATACGTGTCATGGAGAAAAGCTCGCGTCACTGATGCTACTGGCCTCCATCCGGCCAAAACACACACGACATCTTTAATGCAATTCAATCCCAAGCTTAGCAAACGAATGATGTTTGTTATGCTCAGGTCCAGTCTAGTCATGCTAGCTCATGAATGAAAGGCAAATTTGTTCTTGATGAAGGGGGTCGGAAACACCCGGTCTTACTCGTTCCTCAAATTCTTGTTGAATTATTTTCATGGCCGATTTTGGTGAAAAGCTTTTTCAGCTGACTGCAGTGAAACTTAATCGGACAAATGTGCAGCAGAGGCAGACTTTGCATTTCTTTTGCAGGACGTTCTGATCGATTGCCTTCAGAGTCCTACTTCGGGAACCAGCCCCTATCAGTCGACACATCCACTAACTTCTCTCATTTGTATCCCAAACGGAGAGGAGATTTGGGCGCAAAATAATTCACCCTGCTAACAGTCGCAGCTTGTAAATTCCCAAGAACTCATGCAAACAGACAACCTTCATGATCCAAACTGTCTCAGGCGCATAAGTAGACTCCGCGCTTCACCATTTGCATGCTAAAGTCTTCCGTTGAGGGTGGATAGGTCGAGTTCCTCTTCCGGCATTTGATCTTACAAGTAAAAGCACAGAATGTAGCTTTTCAAATTGACGCAGTCTAGAATATAGCCACCGTAGCAGCGCCTTTCGACTCATGGAAATTCACGACTGTCCAACAACTTGATTTCCCATCCCACAACTATATTTCTCCTTCCTTGCTCGATGTTTTAATAGACTGTCTCCTGGGTGAGATGAATTTCACTCTGAAGGTTACTGCAGCGCATCGGAACTGTTGCTTGACTCTTCCAAATTCGTGCTTAGGGAAGGCTTGTGTAAGAGTTGGTTTTCCCCTTGACAACTCGCATTACTTTTAAGTGCTTTCATTGCACGGTTAACATGAAGAAGGCTGTTTTTTGACACGGTGGTGTTTACCATGACAATTTAGTTTGTCCTGTCTTTTATTGGTGCACTTGAGCCTGTGGCTCTCACGTGTAACGTCACAGGCCAATCAAAAGGAGTGATTCTACCCTCCTTCATGTGCCAAATCATGCGATTGGCTGGAAGGCTAGTGGAAACGCTAGTAGTGTGGTTGGACGGCTAGAATTCAGTGGCGTTTACGCTTACGTGCAACTGATCCCACAGGTTAAATAAAATATACAGCATTTCAGGATCTTCAATCGTGCTGGCTCTTAGCATTCATTTAAACATTGAAATTAGCAAGGCTTTCCGGGGGAAAGGAAATGGAACTAATGCATTGCCGATATTTTACGAAGCAAAATCTAATTATGCATTTTAAACCACATTTTTAGGCTAGAATCATAGAAATGATTTGAAAAGGTTATACAGACATTAAATTGAAACAACATTTGTTTATCTCGATGCCAAGTAAACGCCGTTGTCATCAGACTTATTTCAACTGCATTGTCGCTTTCACGTGCCTCATCACGGAGTTGGGTGTCTCTGTCTCCATGTGCGACCTCCCAGCGTTCGATAACATTGCGAGAATAAATGTGCATTATGGGACAATATTTTGAGTGCTGCACGGATTCCCCGTCTTTTTTCCACTGTGAAGCGCTTCTCTCGCAGAGCCTAGACAAGCACTGCTTCGTGTCTCTTTAAATTGACTGCTGATTGACATTTGACTCGATGTGTATGGCAGGGCCATTAATGTGCTCTTACCGCGATCTCAACTTTCAGTCAGTTAAAGGAGCAAAAGCGAAAGCGCCCCATTTGGAGAGTTTTTGCAATAACAGCCACGTAAGTGGAGACTTCTGTGGCCACAGGCATTTAAGCAAGATATTAACAATCCGCGGGTATCGGCGTCATCTTCAGCTGGTCGCCCTCAAATCTCTTTTCTCAGCAAAACCAATTTTTACACTGCTTTAAGCTAAATCCGAATCTTATGCAACAATCAATTGTTTTAATAAATATTTCACTGTTGCCAAATGGATTGTTTTGCTTTGATCAGAATGGACATTTGCACATATGGAATTACTTCCAGCATTTGCTTTAGCATAAAAGCTACCAACACATTTGCGCCTATTTAATGCTGAGAAGATGAAGGAAGTCAGTGCTAAAATAGGAGGTCCAGTCGGTGACAATTTGCATGCCTTCAAACGATTACCTCACCTCCTATTCCTTTCTGTACTTTGATGTTCTGTTCTACCTTATTCTCTTCTCTTCGAGTCCATTGTTAAATTAGACTCTACAGGAAGTGAGACCGACATGATATGGCAAGCAGCCAACATGGACAAGGAAGCCACTGCTGCTGTTAGGTTCTTTGACGCCGCCAAGTCCCCTTGGATGGTCTAAATGAAAGGTGAACGCAACAAATAGAGGAGATCACCGCCAAATTACCAGATTGTAACGGACACACCTCAGGGCTTGCACTAAGACAAAATGACCAAGGAAACCCAGGTCTATATTAGCTAACACAGGGGTTTTTGACCTGATACTTACCTAAGCTTCTTAAACCACATTTGGATTTGAGCTAGAGTGCTACTGATTCAATTGACACACGGCTCGTAGCACCTAGGACAATACGGAGGAAGAAAGCCTGGTTTTGTCATTTTACGAGGCATCTACATTTGGATCCTTGAATTTTTCCACCCGGATCCCCTACTCATTACAAACTCAACGGGTTCAAACGAGTCAGATGCACAGAATCCCTTCCGTTAGCTCCTTTTGCCGATGACAGTTTCCAAGCTAATGTAAAACTTTAACAATAAATCAAAACGAAGAAGTGGTTGCATGAAGGCACAGTAGGAGGATCAATTCTTAACCATTCCAAACAGAGCAATCTACACCATTGGCATGAAGAGTAAGTGAAAAATGTCCAAAACGAGCACCAGGACAGAACGCAGAAGGCACATGCAGTTTGCCTTTGCCCGTCAATAACAGGCCAAATATTAAAAGAGGGGACACCTACATTCTTGGAGGCGAGGTAGACCATGCCATTGACGACTTGACGACCAAGGCACAGGAGGATCGACTCCGTCATCGGGCGTGGTTGGGTTGCGAGCCAAGAGCGATTTTGTTTAGAGGTAGTCAACCAGACTATCTTTGGCAGCGTACTCCATTATCATCACCGGACGACCTAGGAATGAAATGACTATGCACTTTGGCCTCCCCAAGGTACTGTAACCACAAAGAATTATACCTGTATGGTTTTATCTTAAGCTGATGCAATTTACAAGCCTGCAGACAGACCAATATCTTACTGATGTCACAGAATGCAGTGGGACAATGCCTTAAATGTAAGCCAATTACACATGATTCACACTTCACACAAATGTTGGCCGCATCTAGGTAGCATGGTGACCCGTTCATACCGATTCTGCCAACAGCTCACGAATCCTGCAATTCTGCATTTATGTTTTAATATAGCGTGTGCTTTTTTAAGCATTCAGGGAGTTATTATTGTCCACATGAGTGTAAATGTAAAGAGTAGGTGAGCTGTAGGCAGAATTGATATAAGCGGATCACCACGCTACCGAGATGATGGTCCATATTTGTGGGAAGTTAGGATCATGTCTAATGAGCTTGCATTTGAGACACTATCTCGCTGTGTTCTGCGATAGTTGGAAAATATCGGTCTAGCTGAGGATGAGCATGATACCTTGCCGGGTGGTCAATACAGGAATACAGACGAAATGATTCTCAAGTCCGCATTCCCTCGTGCGAGATGCCATTATCTCGTGCCTTGCGAAGCACCTAAACCAATCATTACGAAGACCTTAGCCGTATTTACATAGGGATGTGTGGTTTGCGCAGCTGCAACTCACGCGGATAAAATTGCCATAATTTGGGGCAGCAAGAGCAAAGCGAAGGAGGTTAAGAAAACAAGCTGCTGTTATGGCTACGTTCCACGACCTTATCACTAGACTGCTAAGTCATTCTAGACACACCCTGTAGGTAGATCACATGCAGAGTAACCCACGCCAGTAAATTCCCATTAAAGTTAAAATTGGAATAGAGGAATCCTCTACCCCAAACACCTGTTCTGTACATTTGCGCTAATGTGAAGAATGAGAACACTGCGAGTGCTTGAGGAAGCACAGGCTAGGCTAAAACACAAGTGTAAAAGTACAGGAGGTGTGAGCTGTAGGCAGAATTGATATGAGCGCATCACCATGCTACCGAGATGATAGCCCATATTTGTGAGAAGTTAGTATCATGTATAATTAGCTTGCATCTGAGGCATTGTCTCACTGCGTTCTGTGATATCCGTAAGATGTTGGTCTGTCTGTAGATGAGCAAGCCACGTTGCTGGGTAGTCTTTGGAACAGAGATCCAATCACGAAGAGGATTGCTGCTTTCCCATTTGAATTTTAATGGAGATTTACTAGTGTGAGTTACTTTGGAGACAACCTGACATTAGCGTGTGTCAAGAAAGACATCGAAATCGGACTGTTGATTAGGTCATGGAACGTAGCCATAACAGCAGCTTGTTTTCTTGACCTCCTTCGCTTTGTTCTTGGTGCTGCGGCAGATTATGGCAATTTTATCCACTTGAGTTGCAGCCGCGCGTGTAACCTCATCAAAGGTGATGGTGTTGTTGGTGGTGGCATTAGTGGAATACAATACTGTCATCGTGTGAACGATGTGAGAATTTATTCATCAAGCATTTTTCAGGTGTCTGCACTACTCCGTAGCCCGGTGGGGAAGTAGCTTTGCCAATGTGTTGAAGAGATAGGGGAGTGGTAGCATAAGCGATGTGACTGGAGTAGTGACCTTGGTGTATTCACTGAAGAGTGACAAGAATCGCATTGTCAATCACGCAGTTAAAAATAACTGCATTCTTATAGCTGTAATGTCGTCACCGTATTTATGGACGGATTGCAAGTCGGTCACCATTGGACCGATTGCAGTGGCTTTAATTTAGGTGGAACTTTAACTGTTGTAGCATTGCAATATTTGGTAATGAAAGATGAAGTGACTCATTGGTGAGGTGCATCGCTCAATTTAAACTTTTTTGTTAACTTTGACAGCACGATCGTCCATTGCGTTCAGCTTGACTCAAATCACTACGTTATTTTCATCCTCCTATTTGAACTCCCCACAATGTACATATTTTATCCGCACAAAAGCCGATCATTCAAAAGGAGAAAAATGGAGTGTTATTACAAAAGCCATCGCGACTTGTCTGCCAGAAGCATATTCAGGAATTTAGATTCAAACCAAAGACACAAGTTTGTAATTATCATGAAATATAGGATTTTTGGGAGCTTTGCAACTTCTCACCATGAGTCAGTTGAGTAAAATCTTTCTCTGAAGAGTGGATATTGTGCATCTTTATCCTCGCAGGGTTTTCCCTTAACGTGGATCTGCCACTATGGCCAGTGACCTTGAATTGACAAATTGAACTATTGCTCATTGGAAATTGATTTGACTTAAGTGATTGTTAGACATAAAGTAAACACAAACTGCTCTTGATTAACAAATTCTTAGGTTATTTTGCATTTTGGTACACAAATATTATAAATTATTCATGCTTACATTGCTTAATTGTTTTCATCATTTGGGCATGAAATAGGGCATTTATTTTGATAACATCAAAAATGAAGGGAATGTTTTACTTTGACATTACGACAAGAGGAGTTGGTGAGGCGATCTTACGGATTGATGTAACTCCTTCGATCTGGGCTTATTAGTGACAAGCACCCTCTATCCCATTGCAATGCTTGATTGCACATCTAATTTTGCTTTGGCCAGTGAGCTGAAGGAACCTCAGCATAATAATCTGTGTGATTTCGCATCTGCTTTGACCTGCCCCCCGGCAAACAAGTCTAAGCAAGCTTGATCGCTTCTGCGCTGGGCTATTCTCAAGTGGCGTCGCATGCGGTATGCAATTCGCTTCCCACAGATTATTAATCTTCCTATATTTCTCTCTTCGCCTTTCTTCTTGATTATTAATGCAAACTAAGACCAATTTTCATTATACGATTTTGCAAAATGCAATCGCATCCAAATTAACTTTGAGGTCTGCACAGATGTCACCTCCAATTGTGCTATGTGCGGAGTGTTCCATTTTCCGTTATGCTGCGGCTCGCAGACAGACAGTAGCGTGCCAATTCGTATTCGCTAATTTGCCTCATGTGTTTTACTTTTTCTTTTTAATCAACATGAGATATTTTAATCATGGCTTGCATTTGAGTCTGTAAGCAATGCATAACAGCAAATTCTCGCTACCTCAATTTTGTATAAAAACGCCCATTTTAAGGCAAGTGCATTGCACAAGCCTAGCTTATCATCCTCAGACGATAAGGATTGCTAAACCCTTTTTAGAATGCCTCGGCGCAAATGCCATTTACGAGCGGAAAGAATATGGAATCGTAGCAAATTCCCCTATTAATGGGTGCAACACACCTTCGACTGTGATGTCAACTTGAATGTCCACTGCGAGCTGCCAACAATTATGGCGGAAGGCATTTGAGCTGAACTCTCGCCCAGTGGCATTTTGTGACTGAGATAATAATAATTTTTATACATCCCTCTTATTTTGTGCATCGGTATGTGCATTTATAATTAGTAGTTATGGAGCAGTAAAACTCAAGTTTGGCAGAAGCATGTATTTCTAATCATTGTGTAATGATATTTCCAAAGCTTTGGTTCATTTCCGTCCTAGAAAGTTGTTTATTTGGTAAACTGGCAAAAATGTCCAACTTCAGTGGCAAATAAGATGCTGGCGTCTTCACTTCCATCAAAAAGACAAAACAGTGGGCTGAGCGAATTCTGAATGCGCCTAGATGGAGCATCAGGCAGCAAACTATCATGCCTTTACAAAACGGCATTTACTTCCTAGACATATTTGAATTGTGGGCATTGTACACGGGTTAAATAGTTCCCTAGTAGTCATTACAAATCTAGCCAAAATGGGTGTCAATGAAAGCTAAGATCGGGTTTGTTGTTAGTTATAATTTGTCGCGGCATCGTGAGCAAGCTATTTCCTTCCAAGATTAAATTGCTAGCGCGAGGAACTTTCTTGGGCGTTTTGTGTCCTTCGTTTGAAGGCAACCGGGAATAGAAGGCTACGATGGTGGCGAAATGGCTTAAAGACTGCAAAACGGCTTAGCGCAGATGCCTTTATCAACCTTTGTGGCAATTGCCAGTCCAAAATTCCATTTACAAACAGGAATTTCCTCGCCTAAACTCAGTCCATTCACTGGTCTTTAGCTCTTAGCCTGAAGGTGCAGTGATGTGTCGCGGAAGTTAGGACGATTTCAACGCAACGTGGATATGTTATTACCAGAACATACTT